ATTGGGGAGAAATTGGAGATTAGTGAGTTAAACAGATTAGGTCAGGTCCCGAAGGACAAAGGTCACAAGTTTCCTCTCACATGCAGAGTACACAGAGAATATATCTATATCTGTTCATCTATGTACCTATACAGTGTTATTAAATATATAGTATTATATTTGTATACATGATACCATATATAATGTGGATATATCTATAAGTATATATACCACTCTCTGTCTTTGTACATATATATCTATATATCACTGTTTTATCACCATGTATGTATATGTGTAAGTTTATATAATCAATATGCATAAGTGTATATGTATATATATACATAGTGATGTAATTGTTGGACTGTTTGAGGGAAAGGAGATTAAAATGAGAGAATGAGTTAGTATAAACAATAACAAAATGCATTGCCAATTTTTGAGGATGGAACATAGAACTGACTGAAAGCTTTCCACATGCAGGTGTAAGGAGGGAATAGAACAAAAGAAAAATATAATTAGTAGAAGTTAATACAGGTTAATTTAATGAAAGTGCAGTACAGTAAATGTGGAAATGAATTTACATAGTGAAATAGTTTATATGCACTAATACAAATTCTTGAAATTATAGATGCATTCCCTCATTATACCATGTGAAAGGGACAGAATGGATGAATGAAAAAGTAAAAGATAATCATGACCAGCAGTGGAGAGATTTAGTGAATTTTCTGGATTTCTGAGTAAACCTGAATAGAAGAACACACAATGAAAATCTGCTAAGGGCTCCAGAACAGCAGGTAATAGGCTAGAAGCTAAATTTTCTTAATGTCTTATATTAGTCATGCCTTTTCTTAAAACACTTATATACTCACCAGCAATTACTTAGCTTTTGCCTTATGGAACTGATTCTGATTACTTGCTTCAATTTTGCATTGGTTTTGTCTTACTCTCGTGAATTGCCTCTATCAATTCTGATTGACAAATGGTTGCAATCCTAACCTTATGTGACCTAGAATTACTAGTTAATTATTACTTTTTTAACCTTCATCCCGTTTATGCCAAGAACTCTAAGCCACTGTCACTATGACTCAGGAATCTAACCCTTTTCACAAAAAAATTTTTTTTTACTTGTTTGTAAGAAAATAGAGAAAGCAGAAATTTTACAAAAGTGTTATTGAGAGCACATGCCTTGATCCTAGCTACTCAGAAGACTGAGATCTGAGGATCATGGTTCAAAGCTAGGCCACGCAGCAAAATCAGTGAAATTCTAATCTCCTATTAAACACTCAAAAGCTGGAGGTGGGGCTTTGGCTTGAGTGGTAGAGGGTTAACAATGAGCAAACAAAGACAGAGAAAAACTTAGGGACAAATGTTCTGGCCCAAGTTCAAGCCCATGATTGAAAGGTGGATTCTAAACTTCAAAAGATAGTCAATGAGTTTAATAAATAGTGCTTTGCCACATCAATTAATGATATATTTTCTGGTTCTGTGAAGTAGGTAAAACAAATATCCACCAAAGATGGGGCCCAAACAAAGTCACCACTGCAGTGCAGGTTTGATGGAGGTAAACACTGAATAGAGCAGAATCTTTTCCATTGGAAGTGAAAAGTAAACAAAGCAAAGGAACAGGTATACATTTCCCTTGCTCCTAGGGTCCATTCATAAAATCACTCTTTAGTAAAGTTAGTTTAAAAACCATTTCCAAATCACACTGGCCCTAAGTGTGGAACCTGGCTACCTTCCCACCTCCTCACTGTGGCATCTCTTCCTAAATGGAGAACTGACACTTTGAGAAAACCATGGCATTGACAGACTTGTCACATGAACCCTGTGCGTTTGGATACTGGAGTCAACACTGACAGGTCTCTGAATTGATAATCTATGAATTTGTGCATAAAATATACAGCACACAACTAAATGGACAATTATTTTTGCCAGATTAACCATCACTAAAGTAACCAAAGTCATATTCAATGGCATAGATACCTCAACTGATACTTCAGAAATGCAGCTAGAGGGATTATCAGAAACAACTTCTCAGCAATCAATAGGAAAATGTAAAACAACTATATCTCTTTCTGGACAGATAATGTACTAAGTTGGTTTGCAAATATGTGGAAACATGGACAGACCAATAACATATGGTAGAGATTCCAAAACAAACAGAAGACGAGGAGGACCAGCTAACTCCACTGTTGAATTGTGCCAAAGTTCTCAAAAATTAACCCTGTGTCTTCTCAAGCCATGACCATGCGGCATGTGTTGGAATACTTCCCCTTTCATCTTGATTTCTTCATTTGGGTCTCCCCTCTTGTTTCCTCATCATTCCAGATAATGGTTTCTGAAGAATTTTTTTTAAATCAACTAACTTATTTATAAACCCTTTATCTTTCAGTCTGTAAGTTATTTTGTTTCTGGTCATTGCTCTTTCTTGCTTCTATTCATTTGAGGTTTGCTTGGTGCATTCTTTTTTCGTTTCCTGATTGGCGTTTGTAGTGTATTTTTTAAACTCCCTCTTCTTGTTCCTCCTTCATGTTAAGTTCCCTGCTATGTCTATGTTTGCTCCATTTCACTTCATCTGAATCAAGAAAATGTTAATTTCACTTTGGGTTCCTTAATTGTGACATCCTTTGCTCAAGAAATTTTCTTTCATTTCTCTGTTATGGGTACTTTAAATTTTTCTGTTTTTAAATTCTTAATTTCATTCTGTTTTTAAGAAAATATATCTTATGATGAATTTTTCATATCTATTTTGTATCTGCCAGTTAGCTTATCCTAGAGAATTTTTCTTATGCTAATGGAAGGAATGTTCATGCTGGCACCCGTAAATGAATGTGTTATCTTTTCCTAGTTCTGCTTCCTCTGTTGTATAATTTAATTCTCATGTTTCTTTGTTGATTTTTTGACCGCATTATCTGTCCGTTAATAAATTTGGATGTTTAGTCTTCTAAGCTTTATTTAGTATCAGTATAGTGGTATTAGGTTAATAATGTTTTATTCATAGAGTGGTTGGATTGGGGCTATATATTGAGAATTAGCATTTCTCTTTTGTTTGTACTGACCCATTTATCATTATGGAATGACCTCCTTCGTAGTGTTTCATGGGTTTTTACCTACTGTCTATTTTGTCTTCATTAGTGTAAATACTCTTATTTTCTTCTGTTATTCATTTCTGTGTACAACTTTCATTATTTCTTTACTTTCAATCCATATAGGTTCTTACAGCTGACATTGTCTATTATATTTGTTTTTAATCTAAGCAGTCTGTATGTTTGTCAGTAAGGAGGTTCCCGTATTCCATCCAAGGGGTTTCTGCTTCTCTTATTTTCCATTCTTGGGATTGCATAGTTTTTGTAATGATCATGTTATGATTCCTTTTTTTCTTTTGTATATTTACTTTATTCTTCTCTGTCTATGTCAATATGATGGCAGCTATCATACTTTTCTTTCAAGATAAGATTCTTTAAGCATTATTTCCAGGATTTGTATATTAGTAGTTAGTTCATATCATTTTGCTAGTTTAACAATACTTTATTCTCCTTAATGTATAAGGGAATATATATATAATACATATATGCATATATATATATACACACACATGCATATGTAGATATATATACAGAGACAAAGAAAGAGACAGAGTTCTCAGGTTTAATGAGTTTTTCAGGAATTTGAATATATCAACCCCTGTCTTCTCTGATGTAAAGTTACTGCTGAGTATCATACGCAAAAGCATGTCCTTAGTATATTGAAATGTTATGTTGTTATAATACAGCTTGTTTTGTATTTATAATCATTTTGTGGTCTTTTCTTTTATATGACTATATTCTCATGTGCCTTGGCTAGCATAAATTTTGTTCAAACCTACTAAAGTTCCATTAAGCCTTCTAAACATCTATATCTCATTGAGTTTCTTTACATTTATTATTCCGAATAGTTTTTAGCCAGTCATTAATTTCATTAAGATTTCTTTAAATATTTTTCCAAGAACATACTGTGTTCCCTTTGAATGATCATAGAATTTTCTCTTTTTCACCTGTATCTTATGTCCCTACATTTGCATTTCTGCATGTGGAAGGTCAGTTGTGCAGCCATTATATAGGATCATTTCCATAGTAAAATACTTCCTTGTTATATCTTAGAGAATTGGCCACATCAGATGTATCAGCTTTGATGACAGTGTTGGTGTTGGTATTGGGTGTTGGGTGTTTGTGTAGGGTCAACACAGATCATCAGCTGTAGGCAATGACCGTGAGCTCTGGGTGTGTCCATGGCTTCTTCTGTAGGGATAGGACATAATGTTGCAGCTGAGGTGTATTTCTCTTAGGCAGAACTAGTCAGCAGCAGCTGTAGGTTGTAAAGACCACTGAGGCTGTTGAGCACTTGTCTGTTTATGGGAATGGCCTGGGAGTGGTAGCTCCTTATGGTGACAGAGTCTAGGATTCCAGTTTGGAACCCGCTAGTTTTTATTTACAAAATAGATAAAATAATCAATAAGCAATCAAACTGCCAGTTTTTATTTACAAAAAAGATAAAATAATCAATAAGCAATCAAATCGCAGCAATGTAGTCAAGCACAGGCCAGCCAAAGGAGGAAGCTCAAGAACTGGTCATTACTCTCTGATTCAAAAACCAAAGTAAAGAGATTCTTTTTGAAAAGAGGTATAATTCAGTTGAAGTAATATTTACAAAGCAAATTATTCAAATACAGCTTGCTTGAAAATGATGTTTTCTGTAGAACAGTAGATCATGAAATAATATGGAGTACCCTGGAATATCTTTGTGTTATTTTGGAGCAATGCCTCAATCACAGAAAACAAAGAAGACCACCTGTCTGTGACCGAGGGCCAGCATAGTTGCTTCAAGCATCTAAACTGCACTTATTGAGCTATCCAGATTCTTCCTGGGGATGAAAATGAGTGAGAGGGGCCAATATTTGCGTCCTAGACCTTATCAAGTAAGCTGTGCATTGTGAGAATGTCTCTTCCTGGGTCATATCAGGATTTGCGAAGCCAGGTGGTTGCTTCATGAGAACTTCAACAGGCTCCCTCACTCAGGCTCAGAGGTTTGCTGTTGTGGGTGGCCTGAAGAGAGGGGCAGAGTCACCTGCCTGCTTCAAAGGACCAGTGTTTGATAACCAGCTCAGCATTAACGTCTTGGCAAGTTTCCAGTGGCAAGTGGAAGTTGTCTGGGCATTGAAGGCGATTTGCCTGGCCTGTGGGTAAAGTGGTCAGAGAAGCTGAGCAGATTTCTGGTTAGCAGTGTTAGGGTCAGCAGGATTTCAGTTGTATTTTAGAGGCTTCTGCAGTTGGTACTGCTCAGGTTGAGGCTACCCAGGAAATATGCAGGGCCACTTGAGCTCTTAGGGCAGCTGCCTAGCAGATTTGCTGGCCCCTTGAGGGCATTCTAAACGTGGCACTCTGCAACAAGAGCTTTGGGAGGTGGTGAGGGGCAAGGGCACAAGGAGGGGTGGACTTTTTCTCCATGGCAATGCATTTGTCTGCTAACTTAGTGTCCCAAACCAGGCTCATGGCTTATGAGGACAGCAGGCTTCCTCATCAGCAAATAGCAGGAGCAGGGTTCTGAGTGGCAATTGTTGGGTGTCCTGTTTGCCCTCCTCCACTAGAGGAAGGGTCTTTTGGCTCATGTTCAATGTTCCAAGATGGGAAAGTGAAGAGTCTGTGTTCTTAACCCCTTATTTTATAAAGCCATAGTTCAATCCTGAGTTCTCCAGTGTAGTGGCTTGTCCATGTCCTCCCTGAACACTGTCACTTTGTTTCAAACTCCAAGAAAATCACTTTGATTTGTCTGGGCTTTATTCCTTTGTTGTGGAGTAAAGCACCTTTATTCAGCCATCTTGCTTCTGTCTTGATGATAGGGAATTTCTTCCCAGGAAGCTATCTACTTGGGAGGCTGAACTCTGGTGGGGGTGGGGGGTAGGGAGGACAGTAGTAGGGGTGGGAGATGGGAAGGATGGGAAGGGGAAACAAAGCAGGAGGCAACAATGCTTGATAAGAAATGTACTTATTATCTTGCTCATGTAATTGTAATTCCTCTGTATGGTATTTTTACAATAAAAAAAAAAAACAGTTCTTACATCACTCTTTGTTTTTCCCTTACCATCCCTTCCCTCCCACCTCCACAACTAAACTCCCCCGCAACCACTCCCCACAACCAGCCCTGGCCTAAATTGTAAGGTTCGTTTCTCAACATAATGTCTTGTACATCCCATTGTTATAATGGGACATGACCATTTTCTTGCTTCAGAATTTGCTCTCTATGATCCATATGTGTATCCTATCTGTTCAACAGAAAATGGTATATTGATTTTCACAGCTCATGTCACACAAAACCTAAGGCACTGATCATAAGATTTTTCACTTACCTGTCAAGTGGATTAGGTGGTCCTAAGAGTGAGACATGAAGGCAATGTAAATGTAACTTCATTGGTACAATAATTGTTATTTGGAAAAGACTGTATCTTTCACGTGCTCACGTTATACATTTCTCATTTCATGTCTAAGACTTTTAATGAGCAATTGTTTTGAAATGCCCCTAATCCTAGGCCATCCCAAAACAAAAGCTTTCATCACTCATGGTGGAGCTAAAGGCGTCTATGAGGCCATCCATCATGGGATTCCCATGGTGGGCATTCCTTTGTTTGGGGAACAACGTGATAACATTGCTCACATGGTGGCCAAAGGAGCAGCTGATCAACTGGATATAAGAGCAATATCAAGGAAAGACTTGCTCAGAGCACTGGAATCAGTCATTCACAAACCTTTGTATGATCTTGTGTGTGTGTGTGTGTGTGTGTGTTTCTAGATATTACACCTAAGGAATTGTTTCTCATTGGTAACTATCCAACACTTTTGTTACTATGCTTATGTTTTATTAGTCTTTAGGATAATTTCTTATCAGAGTCCAAACATTTAAATTATCATCAGTTTAGAGTTGGTTAATATTGGAAGAATTCATCAATAACCTAGCATGTGTGTCCTAAGGCACAATAGAGTGTGTGTGTGTGTGTGTGTGTGTGTGTGTGTGTGTGTGTGTGTGTGTGTGTTGCAACATTGTCATGCTGTAGAGCTTGAACTCACAGTCATCATATTTCAGCATTTGGAATGCTGAGATTTCAGGGATTCACTTTCCTTTCCAGCCATAATAAGTAGCTATTTTCACCAACAATTTCAATGGAAAATAATTATTAGACCCATGAGCATTCTTAAATAGGGCAAATGTGGACAGAAAGGAGTCACTAACGATGACAACAGTTGATTGCAAAGAAGATGAGCACAGCAATGAATTAGGGGTGTATGAACCCTCCCTCTATAAATGACACTAATTAATCCTGTTCAGTTAGAAGTTTCTTTCAGCCTAAGCTCTCACTAGCTACTGTTTATAAAATAAATGTTTATAAAATAAATATTTGGCAAATACTATATGAAGTAAAGATAGTTGAAATCTTAATATAGTGAAAAGGATGAATACATCCATCATTTCAGTTTTTGGGTTTTTTGTGTCGGTCATGGGGCTTGAATTCTAGGCCTGGGCGCTGTCCCTCAGCTCTTCAGGTCAAGGCTAGTGCTCTCCCATTTGAGCCACACCACCACTTCCCTTTTTTTTGCATATGTGGAACTGAGGACTCAAACCCAGGGCCTCATGCATGTGAGGAAAGCATTCCTCCACTGAACCAACCTCCTAGCCCTCTGGGGATTTTTTGGGAGGGAAATGTGGTTTCTTTAAGAGAAAAAAAAAAACACTTTTACAATTGTTTACATTGTTGTTAAACAGTAAGACATAATCTAAGCTGTAATTTCTGTTCTATTTAATGCTTCCTAAACTATCTATATTAATGCTTTAATTCTAGCACTAGGACTTTTAAAATTACCTGATTAATCCTGTTAGAAAAACATGTGAATATTCTTAGATCCTTAGTACTATGGTTTTCTTATTAGGAACAGCTATAATTAAAAAAAAAAAATACCTTGTAAAGTGCAACTTAAATATGGCTGTTTAATAGCCAGCATATCTGAAGCAAGAAATATTTGTGATTCAAAATATTTCATTACATGTAACTATATTGTCAATTCTGGTATCAATTATTATCAGCAATATTCTGTATGTATTTCTCCCCTTTCACCATAACTGCAAAATAAAGCCTTGTATTTTGAAAAATACTCACAACTGCCCAATAAATAAGTGGGCTAAAGACTTAAAGAGAAACTTCTCTGAAATGGAAAGAATGATGGCCAATAGACACATGAAGAAATGCTCAACCTCTCTAGCATAAAAGAAATGCAAATCAAATATCTAGTATATGTATGAGTCAAGCGAAAAAAGTCAGATAATGTGATGTCAGGAAAATGAACCCTTAGATATGTATTTTAATGTTTTTTTCTTTTATGCATTTGTTTCTAACGCATTTATAAGATTATCTCTTTGTTGCTTTGTATGTCCCTCCCCCACAGTATAACCCCTGCTTTCACTATATTTGATGTCAGTATAACTTGTGGAGGAGATGGGGAAAAACAAGTCGTTTAAGGATACAGGTGGACCTGTTGCAACAATGAGAAGTACAAGTTGTCATGTCGAAAACGAGCTTTACAACGTTGGTGGGGGGAGGGGAAGGGGGGGCAGGGGGAGAGGATTGGGTGGGGGGCGGGAGGCTGGGAAGGAATGTGCTTGATAAGAAATGTACGCATTATCCTGCCCATGTAATTGTAACTCCTCTGTACAGTATGTTCACAAAAAAAAATTCAATTAAATAAAAAAAAAAAAAAAAAAGAAACATGCCTAACGGTGAAGTAAGGATGTCAGGTCTGGCCGGTGCCATATTGGTCACATCGTAGGTGGCAGGGTCTGGCATGCTGTCTTCATGCTGGGGAAAGGAGCCTCCGCACTCCCCTCTCCCGCCCCCCTGCATTTGTCAGTCCAGTGCCTGGGACTGGGAATTTCCTGAGGATCTGCCCCTTGCGTTGACATATTTAGGCCCAGACCAGTCTAGCCACCAGAAGATCATGCCACATGTGTCTGTGTGATCATGTTCTGTGTCCTGTCTCCTGCTCATCTCCAGTCATCATGGATCCCAATTCAGCTCTCCATTAGAGCTGAATTGGCTTGTTGGTATTGTTTTTGTTATTTCTTTCCTCTTTAGCACGTTTCCTAGCTGTGTTAAGTGTATTTGTTTGCTGCAGGCCTTTGTAACAACTTGTGGCCTGCAGTCTGTTAACTGTATAATAAAGACTCCAATATTCTTTTTTTTTTTTTTTTGGTGGTCATGGAGCTTGAATTCTGGGCTTGGGCGCTGTCCCTCAGCTCTTCAGCTCAAGGCGAGTGCTCTACCGCTTGAGCCACCGCACCACTTCCAGTTTTCTAGTGGTTTATTGGAGATAAGAGTCTCATGGACTTTCCTGCCCGGGCTGGCTTTGAACCTCATTCCTCAGATCTCAGCCTCCTAAGTAGCTGGGATTACAGGCGTGAGCCACCAGCGCCCAGCTTAAGATTCCAGTATTCTATATTTCAAAATGTGGCTTCTGGGATGATTCACCTTACAACTGAAGTAGGTCCTGAGAGACTAGAGCTGGTACAGCTTCTTTCCAGGCGTTGCCTTTGTTTCAGGGATTTTAGAGAAAAAAAAAAACAAAAAACTTTAAACAAGGTTAACTAGACCTCGGCTCCAACCAGCCCAGTTCCTGGAGTGGAAAGAATGCCTCTAGGTCCCCCTCCCCTTAACAACCTAACCCACCTTGATTGTGCAGTTAAGACTGACCCATAAAACAGGTTTAATCTGGCTCCAACTGGCAACACCATATGCTTATGGTAAACCCTGCCTTGTGCCTATTGGCCACCTGTGTGTGGTCTGGTATGACCCCATTGGTCACCTGTGCGTGACCAGGCTCGACCTCATGGATTTTGCCTGTAAAAATCAAAGAATAGGGGCTGTTTGTGGTCACAGTATCAGCTCCCGAGCCTTTGCTGCTGCCCTGGCCGGTTTGTGTAGGAACCTTTTCAATAAAGTTGCTTCTTTATTAAAAAAAAAAAAAAAAAAGAAATGCAAATCAAAACAACATTGAGATACCACCTCGCCCCAGTTAGAATGGCTATAATCAAGAACTCTAATAACAATAGATGCTGGAGGAGATGTGGACAGAAGGGAATCCTACTGCACTGATGGCTGGAGTGTAAACTTGTTCAACCACTTTGAGAAGTATTATTGAGGTTCCTCAGAAGACTCCACATAGAGCTCCTCTATGTCCCAGCAATTCCACTTTTGGGCATTTACTGGAATGGTCACAAACAAGACCATACTAAAGCTCCCAGCACAACTATGTTTATTTCAGCATTATTAACCATAGCTAAGATATGGAATCAACCCTGATGCAATGGGTCATCTTGTGTCCCTGTGTCAGTATTTTGTTATTCCCCTTCCCCTCCCCAGATTAGACATATGTACATACAAGATGCATGTACCAAAATCAAGTACAGTAACAACAGGGGATATGCTATAGGGGAAAGAACATACAAAGGAAACAACAACAAAAACGAAAATCACATGGTACATTGAAAACAATAACTATTAACAAAGACCTCTTATGTCCATATCTTGGGGTTCATTTCACTTCGCATCATCTTATATGATCATTGTATATGGCTTTTAAGCTTTTCAGCTCATTGGCAAGATTATCCTATATGTATACTAATTATTGCAAATAAGGGAAACCATGGGAACTAAATTTCTTTGGGACTGTGTTACTTCACTTAATATTTTTCCAAGTCTTACTATTTCCTAACAAATGGGGCAGTGTTGTTCTTTCTGATGGAAGCTTAGAATTCCACTATATATAGATCACATTTTCTTGATCCACTCATCTACTGAAGGGCATCTGGGTTGGTTCCATATCTTAGCTATGGTAAATAATGCTGTGATACACATAGTTGTGCTGGTAACTTTAGTATGGCTTTGTTTGTGATCATTTGAGTAAATGCAGAGATGTGGGATTGCTGGGTCATAGGGGGGGTTCTATGTGTAGTTCTTTGTAGAACCTCCATACTGCTTTCCAAAGTGGTTGAACAAGTTTATACTCCCATCAACAATGCAGTAGTGTTCACTTTTGGACACATCCCCCCATCATCTGTTGTTCTTAGTATTCTTGATTATAGACGTTCTAATTGGGGTGAGGTGGAATCTCAATATTGTCTTGATTTTCATTTCTTTTATGGCCAGAGAATTTGAGAATTACTTCATGGGTCTATTGGCCATTGTTATTTCCTCTTCAGAGAAGTCTCTCTTTAAGTCTTTAGCCCACTTGCTGATGGAGTGGTTGCTTCTCTGAGGATTTGTTTTTGGAGGGCTTAATTTTTTGAGTTCTAAGTATATTTTTTATATGAGATACTTGTCTTTTGTATAGCTAGTGAAGACCTTCTCCCAGTCTGTGGGCTTTCTACTGATCTTATTAGCTATGTCCTTGGCCATGCAGAAGCTCTGCAGTTTCATGCAATCCCATTTGCCCAAACTTTCTTTGATTTGTTGTGTTTCTGGGTCTTTATTAAGGAAATTTTGGCCTGTGCCAAGGAGCCCTAGAGTTTCTCCTATTCCTTCCTGTAATGTTTTCAGGGTGTCTGCTTTTATTTCCAGGCCTTTGATCCATTTGGAGTTGATTCTGCTGCTTTTCTACAGTTGTTTAACCAATTTTTCCAGCACTATTTATTGAAAAGACTGTCTTTCTTCCATTCTATTTTTGGCTCCCTTATCAAAGATTGGTGGCTACAGGTCTGTGAGTTCATTTCTGGGCCTTCTGTTCTGTTCCATTGGTATTCAGATCTGTTCTTGTGCCAGTACCAAGCTGTTTTGATTACTATGGCTTTGTAGTACAGCTTGAAGTCTGATTGTTATTCCTCCAGAAACATTCTTTCTGCTAAAGATTATTTTTGGTATTCAGGGTCTTTTATTCACTAGCCATATAACTGGACAAGGGTCTTATATATCTAAAATATACCTGTAACTGAACTTTGAACAACAGGTGCATTAATAATTGCTTACTGAATAAATTAAGTTTTTCTTCTGCCTTTGAAATTGAACTGATTCTACTTTCTACTTAAAAATTCTTGAATTTAACAAGATTTTTTAAATGGCTAAACCTAGTGTCATTAAAAAGCTCTTACCTTTCACACTAAGATGTTTAAAAATAGAGCAAAAGAAAATCATTTTCCTCTCTTCAACATTTTTACCACTTACGGAAATCTTTCAATATCTTTTTTCTAGTTCATTTGATATATTTACATCAATTTGATTTACCTTTAGCTATAAAAAGAACGCTATGTGGTTATCAACTATTCACCATGATCAGCCTATGAAGCCACTGGATCCAGCTGTATTCTGGATTGAATTTGTCATGTGCCACAAAGGAGCCAAGCATCTGAGGCCACTTTCCCACAACCTCGCCTGGTACCAGTACCACTCTCTGGATGTCATCAGATTCCTACTGGCCTGTGTGGCCACTGTTACTTTCCTTCTCTTAAATTGTTGCTTGCTTGTTTGCCAAAAGGTTTTTAAGATGAGAAAGAAGAAAAAGAAGTAGAGCTTTCAATATTCCAGGGAATGGACTAAGAGCATACTAAGTAAAACCATCCCAAGAAATTTGACCACAATAAAGGTGAGAGAGATTCTTGTCCGTACTTTACCAAACTAATACCTTCTGGATTTTCAAATGGATCTTACTCCTGATCAAACATGAAGTAATGTACAATTCTAATTTCACAATTCCTCAAAAAATTTCACTTTACTTGTTTATGTATGTTAGTATAAGTAAATGAACTGGTACTTACGGAAATTGAACCTATTAATTTGAGATAAGCATAAGACCCAACATTTTACTGTGCACTTCCAAAAAGGGAATATTTTAATAAAATATGATCAAATGGGCTCTTCATGTGTGTCCAAAATAAGAGAGAGAAAGTAAGGTTATAAGAAGTACAGACTTTTTTTAATCTATTGAAATATGGGAGGGAGTTGACAACAACTGAAACTAACTTCTCCGGAGACAAAGCCAACTAAGATTTTCATAAACATCAAAACTGAATAACAGGAAGTGAAGAAGTGAGAATAAAGGGAACTGAAGCTTTACATCAAGATAGCCAATTACAAAAGAAGTGGAAAATTACTGAACATGGCCTTCCCTGGGTGGAAGAGTTGCAGGTTGTGCATTGTATACTGTTGGTGAGTCATATTTTCATAAAAAAAAAAAAGAAAGAAAAAAGAAAATTGTGGTGTCCAGAACTGACACTCTACATAACTTAGTATAGGTAGAGGCAAAGGTAGATCTGGTCACTTTGCTCAGCAATGTTTGATGTTTTGTACTTAGTACCATGAAGAAAATACATTGCAAATCCCTCTTGAAATTCAGATTATTTTGTTATTTTCTGTTTTGCAAGATAACTAGAGGCTCAAAGGTTGAAGCAGGACCTCTTGTTTTTGCCATAATGTGTCTCAACAATTCATTACATCTAGCTTCTTTGAAGTCCTTGACAGTGAGTACATGAGACCCTAAATTTATATTATATTTTTACTTATTCTTGAATAATAACACATAAAAGTAATTGTGAAGCAATTTTAGAAAACATTTAGTATTTCAAAAGATCCCAAAAACTCACTGTTAAGATGCTGCTGTCACAGTCTGAGCTCAGAACACAGTCCACAAAGCAGGAAAAAAGGGAAATCAATTAAGGAGTATTACTTCCGCCTGGCACAAGATAGGTTTAAATAGTTGAATGAGCGACATGATGATTGATTTTCACATATAGTAAACTTTACAACACTCTTTTACAATTATCATTCTGGCTGCTGGTGGCTCATGGCTATAATCCTAAACACTTAGGAAACAGATATCTGAAAATCTCAGCTCACAGCCAATCTGGGAAGGAAAGTCAAAGAGACTTCTATGGACAAGAAAACTGGGAGTAGAGCTGTTAGTGAAAGTTCTTGAACACTAGTCTAAAGCTAAAAGAGCTCAGGGACAGTGCCTGAGCCATGAATTTAAGACTCAAGACTGACGTACACAGAAACAAAGGAAGGAAGGAAGGAAGGAAGGAAGGAAGGAAGGAAGGAAGGAAGGAAGGAAGGAAGGAAGGAAGGAAGGGAGGAAGGGAGAGAGGAAGGGAGGAAGGGAGGAAGGGAGAAAGGGATGGAGGGAAGGAGGGAGGGAGGGAGGGAGAGAGAGACAGAGAGAGAGAGAGAGAGAGAAAGAAAGAATCTGATGGGCATAGTTTTGAACATCTGTAATCCCAAATACTTGGGAAATGGAAATAGTATGGTGGTTGCTTGAGGATAGTAAAAGCAAAGTTGTTAAGGCCCATGTTACAGCAGTTGCCTACCAAACATAAGACACTCAGTTTAATTCTTACTGCTACAGTACTAAAGTTACTCTCAAGAAAACTAATTTTAAAAATAATGTTCAGAAAAGAAATAGACAATAATGGTAACTTTAAAGATTTGATTTTACATAGATCAGCAATTTAATATTTAAAATTAAATAAAAATGAATGTATAAAATATAAAAATAATACATCAGTACCCTTTATTACATTAGGTTTTTAACAGAAGGCAACTTTGTAGGTATGTTTTTCTGAGCTAAAAATGAAGCTAACTCTAAATATACTACTCAAAACAAATTCTAGTCTATGTCTAATTTCTTCCTCAAATTATTATATATAATGAGACTTTATATTAACACCATATATATAAAGAATATTATGCTATCTTAGTGAAAAACCAAGCTGAGTCATTTTCAGAAAAATGGATAACACTGCAAATCATTAGGTTGACTGCTGTAAACCAAAATCAAAATACCAAATATTGCAGGTTATTGCTCATTTGTGCAGTTGACACTAAACTGAGGATGTTGATGTTATGATAATGATGATGACAATAATGATGATGATGTTGATGATGATAGCAATTAGTGGACAAGAGCCATGAATGTAAAAGGAGGAACTTCCAGGAGGGGTCAGCAAAAGGAGAAAGAGAGAAAACAATGGATATTGTAGAGCAAAGAGGATAAAAGGATATAAAACCCACACGCCTGTGACTGTCATAATAAAGTCTACCAAATGCCATTTGAGAAAGGAGGAGAGATTGAGAGGAATGAGACTATAGTGGAAAAGGACAATATATGCAAAGTGCACAGTGTGTGTATATGAAAAATTACAAGGAAAGTCCCTGTGTTACAAAAAGTGAAAACTGAAAAGTAAAATATTTAAAAAGATACAACAGATGCTGACAAGGAAATAGGGAGAAAAGGAATGTTATATACTGTTAGAAATGCAAATCAGTGCAGCTCCTATGGAAAAGACATGGAAGATTTTCAAAAACCTAGAAATAGAGCTATGAATTATTCTGTGAAGTATTATCTGAAGTAATTTAATTGCACACTTGGGTGTTTATTCCAGCATCATTTGCTAATAACCAGGCTATGAAGTCAGTTTAAATGCGCTTTGACTTTTCTGTTGATAATGAAAATAGAGATACATATACAATATGTATCTATACATATGTAAGGAAATGAAGAGATATGAATACACATATATATTAGAGTATTAAACAGAAAATATGTCATAGCATTTACAGATAAAATGGAAAGAAAAAAGAAAAATATAATGTAAGGGATTAATTTAATCAAAATGCAGTACAGAACATTTGGATGCAAAATTACATGACAAAACAGTTAATATACGCTAATACAAATTCTTAAAGTTCCCTCATTATGTGAGATGAAATGGGACAGAACTAATTAATGAAAAAAATAGAGGCATGGCCAGCGTTGGAGAGATGTAGAGAATTTTCTGAGTAAAACTGAATAGAGGAGCCCATAAGAAATACCTCACTTAAGTGCTGCTGAGCAGTAAGTATCAGGTTAAAAGCAGTATTTTTAATATCATATATTCATCCTTCCCTTCCTTAGCACACTCTTAGTTCTTACTATTTGGTCAGCCATAACTACTCAGTGTTTGCATTTATATTACTTGCTTCAATTTAGCATTTATTTTGTCTAAATGATTTCCACTTGCTTGTAACAACTCATTGACAAATGTTTCAAAATCTAACCTTAAAATTTAACCTAGAAGGCTAGAAAGGTGGCTCGGTGGTAGAGTGCTTGCCTTACATGCATGAGGCCCTGGGTTTGATCCCTCAGTACCCCATAAAAAGAAAAAAGCCTAAACTGCACTGTGCCTCAGGTTGTAGAGCACTAGCCTTGAGTTGAAGAGCTGAGGGACAGCTCCTGGGCTCGGAGTTTGGGCTCAGGGACCGCCACCCCCCCAAAAAAATATATTAACCTAGAATTACTAGTTAATTATTGCACTTTCTAACCTTGACTGATCACACATCTTTTCAGTAACTGTGGGCCACTCTCATCATGACTCAGGAATCTGACTCTTTTCACAAAAACAAATTTAGTTTTCTTACTTGTCTGTGAGAAAGTAGAGATTTTGCAAAAGAGAAATTGAGAGCTCATGCCTATCTTCTCAGCTACTCAAGAGGTTGAGGTCTGAGGATCATGGTCTAAACCATCCTCTGAAGAAAGTCTGTGAGACTCTAATATCCAATTAAACACGAGATCTGGAAGTGGATCTCTGGCTCAACTGGTAGAGTGCTAGCCTGAGCACAATAAAAATGAGAAACACTTAGGGACAATGCCCAGGCCTAGACTTTAAGCCCCTGAATGCTGGGTGGATTATAAATTTTAAATGATTGTCAATCAAAATAATAAATCATAATTTGCCACATCAAATAATGATACATTTTCTGGTTCCATGTAGTAGGTAAACCAAGTATTCACCAAAGATGGGAGCTCCAACAAAGTAACAACTGCAGTGCTGGTTTGATGGAGGTATCTATAGAAGACAGCAGAATCTTTACCACTGAAAATGAAAAGCTAACAGAGCAAACTAACAGGTGTATATCTCCCTTTTTTGTAGTGTCCATTCACAACAATCACTCTTTGGTAAAGTTAGTTTAAAAAAAAATTTCCAAATCACTCTGGCATCAAGTGGGGTAGCTGGCTGCCTTTCTATGGTCTCAGCATAGCATCTCTTCCTAAATGGAGAACTGAAATGTTTAGAAAAGAAAGAAAAGCCATGGCATTGTCAGAGTTGATATATGTTCATTGTGTTTTTGGACATTCTATGCAACAATACAGACAAGTCTATGCATTGATAATCTATGAATTTATGCTTAAAATATTGCTACTATTACTTCAGAAATACAGCTGTAGAGATGATCAGAAACAACTTCTCAGCAATGAGTAGGAAAATGTAAAACAAATGGATCTATTTCTGGATGGATAATCTTAAAAATTGGTTTGTTAATATGTAGGAAATATGGACAGACTGATAACATATGGTAGAGATTCCTAGCAGAGAGAAGACTAAGACCAGCTGACTCCACTGCTGAATTGTGCCAAACCTCTAAAGAATTAACGCTGTGTCTTAGAATAATGCCCCTTTCATCTCATTGTATTCATTTGGATCTTTCCTCTTGTTTTTTTCAAAAATCAACTTATTACCTCGTTGGTTGTTTTTCTTTCAATCTGTAATTTATTTTGTTTCTGGTCATTGCTATTTCTT